ACAAAGTGTCACTGTCATCCAGCCTAGAGTTCAGTGCATGGATCATAGCTCATTGCAGTCTCCAACTCCTAGGCTCAAATGATCCTCCTGCCTTAGCCTCTCTGGTTGCTAGCAGTACAGGCGTGCACCACTATGTTAATTTTTACTTTTTTTTTTTTTTTTTTTTTTGAGACAGAGTCTTGCTCTGTCTTCCAGGCTAGAGTACAGTGGTGCAATATTGGCTCCTCTGCCTCCTGGGTTCAAGCGATTCTCCTTCCTCAGCCTCCTGAGTAGCTGGGATTATAGGCGCTCACCACTATGCCTGGCTAGTTTTTGTATTTTTAGTAAAGACGGGGTTTCATCATGTTGGCTAGACTGGTCTCGAACTCCTGACCTCAGGTGATCCACCCGCCTTGGCCTCCCAAAGTGCCGGGATTACAGGCGTGAGCCACCTTGCCTGGGCTTTTTAATTGTTTTGTTCAGGTGAGAGGTCTTTCAGTGTCGCCCAGGCTGTTTTGAACTCCTAGCCTCAAGTGATCCTCCCACCTCGATTTCCCAGAGCCCTAGGATTACAAGTGTGAGCCACCGTGCCAGGCCAGGTTACCGTATTCATGTGTGGTTTGAGACTCTGTATCAGGACATGCTGGGCACAGGCCATCGGGACAGAGCAGAGGAGAGTGGGGAGGAAAAGGAGGCTGTTCCAGGTGTCCTGGCAAGTGATGAGGGTCCTCTGCCCCAGAACGGTGGCCGAGGCTTCCTCTGGTGGCCTCACCAAGGTCCTCTGTGAGCCTCAAAATCACTGCCTTGGCCGGGCACGATGGCTCACGCCTGTAATCCCAGCACTTTGGGAGGCCGAGGTGGGTGGATCATGAGGTCAGGAGTTTGAGACCAGCCTGGTCAACGTGGCGAAACCCTGTCTCTACTAAAAAATACAAAAATTAGCCAGGCGTGGTGGCGGGCACCTGTAATCCCAGCTACTTGGGAGGCTGAGGCAGGAGACTCACGTGAGCCCGGGAGGCAGGGGTTGCCGTGAGCTGAGATAGCGCCACTGCACTCCAGCCTGGGAGACAGAGCAAGACTCTGTGTCGCAAAAACAAAACAAAACAAAATCAAAAGCACTCCCTTTCCCCACCCTCTCCTGTAAATCCCAGGAGAGGTCCGGGGAGCCATATAAGCTTCCTGGAATGGAGAAGACAAGTGATCTGGAAGGCTGTCCTTGAGAGAGGATGGCCTTTAACTCTGTCACTCCCAAACTGGGTGCAGAGACGACCGAGTCTATGGTCCAGACCCCATGTACGATGTCTTCCCTGTTCTAGAAATCATTTCCAGGAGGCTGCTTCACACTGCCTGGGGTTCCACCATCTCAGTGCCCAGCCAGGCCCATGCCAGTGAGGAGGATTGAGGGGACAGGGCTGGGCCAGGGACTGGGATCTCCCAGGCAGACCATTTCCAGAAGGGGTGTCCTAAGTCTGCTCTCTGCTCATGTCCTCGCTGGGGGCATTCTCTGTGACTAAGACAACTCGTGGGGTTATCAGTCTTGGTGTCACAGGAAAGGGGTTCCAATCAGACCCCGAGAGAGTTCTTGGATCTCACGCAAGAAACAATTCAGGGCTAGTCTCTAAAGTGAAAGCAAGTTTATTAGGAAGGTAAAGGAATAAAAGAATGGCTACTCCATAGACAGAGTAGCCCTGAGGACCGCTGGTTGCATAGACAGAGTAGCCCTGAAGACCGCTGGTTGCCTGTTTTTATGGTTATTTCTTTTTTCTTTTCTTTTCTTTTCTTTTTTTTTTTTTTTTGAGACAGAGTCTCGCTTTATCGCCCAGGCTGGAGTGCAGTGGTGTGATCTCAGTTCACTGCAACCTCCACCTCCTGGGCTGAAGCGATTCTTGTGCCTCAGTCTCCTGAGTAGCTGGGATTACAGGCATGCGCCATCACACCCAGCTAATTTTTGTGTTTTTAGTAGAGATGGGGGTTTCATCATGTTGACCAGGCTGGTCTCGAACTCCTGACCTCAGGCATTCTGCCCATCTCAGCCTCCCAAAGTGCTGGAATTACAGGCATGAGCCACCACGCCTGGCCTGAACCACGGTGCCCGGCTGGTTATTTCTTAGTGACATGCTAAACAACGGGTGGATTATTCATGTCTCCCCTTTTTAGACCATATAGGGTAACTTCCTGATGTTGCCATGACATTTGTAAACTGTCCTGGTGCGAGTGGGAGTGTAGCAGTGAGGATGCCCTGAGGTCACTCTTATCACCATCTTGGTTTTGGTGGGTTTTGACCAGCTGCTTTACTGCAACCTGTTTTATCAGTAAGATCTTTATGACCTGTATCTTGTGCTGATCTCCTATGTCATCCTGTGACTTAGAATGACCTGGGAATGCAGCCCAGCAGGTCTCAGCCTCATTTTACCCAGCTCCTATTCAAGATGGAGTTGCTCTGGTTCACATGCCTTTGAGAGTGGGGCCCCAGCCAAGCCTGAATGGGCAGCAAGGCTTCCGTCCCACACAGCCATCCTATGGATGTGAAGACTGAGGTCCTGAGAGAGAGCGTTCATTGCTGTGAGTCACTTGGAGTTTCAAATGTAGCAGGCTGTCTCCAGTTGGACAACTGTACTCTCTGCCCCCTACCTCCTGCCTAGTTCCCATTCTTCAAGGCTCGGTGGAGACAGCTCCTCCAGGGAGCTCCCAAAGATAGGGGCTCTTTTGCCTTTCCAGCCAGATCAATTCCTTCCACTGGCTGCTCCAACTGCCTCTGTCTCCCGCATCCTAGCTCAGGCCACACTGTGTCCCTTCCTTCCCCTGCTGGGCTGACAGCCTTGTGAGGACAGAAAACCTAGAAGAGCAAGAGATGAGGGAAGCTGGAGTGAGAAACCCAAGGGTAGGTCTCTAGTGGAGGGCCACAGGGCTCTGCCCATTCCACAGTTGTGATCACCAGGCAATGGGTGGCTGGGCTGGCTGAGGCAGTGGTGCTCCTGGGAGCTAAGTCCACACTCTGGGCTGAGCTCCAATCACACCTGAGGCCAGATGCTGCTTAAACCCCAATAGCAAGAAAGTAGAAGTTGATAAATGCTTTATTGGGTCATTAAGGAATCCTGGTCAATCTGGCCACACCTGCCCTTCACTGCATGCCCTGTCCCTCCACAGGCACTGGAAATGAATGCCATGCTTTTTCTTTCTTTCCTGCTTTTTTTTTTTTTTTTTTGTTGTGAGGGAGGGAGTCCCGCCTTTCTCCCAGGCGGGGGTGGAGTCGGGCCGCTGTCAGCCCCCTGCAAGCTCCGCCTCCCGGGTTCACGCCATTCTCCTGCCTCCGCCTCCCGAGTAGCTGGGACTACAGGCGCCCGCCACCTCGCCCGGCTAGTTTTTTGTATTTTTTAGTAGAGACGAGGTTTCACCATGTTAACCAGGATGGTCTCGATCTCCTGACCTCGTGATCCGCCCGTCTCGGCCTCCCAAAGTGCTGGGATTACAGGCGTGAGCCACCGCGCCCGGCCTTTTCTTTTTTTTTCCCGCCTTTTTTTTTTTTTTTTTTTTTTGAGACGGAGTCTCGCACTGTCTCCCAGGCTGGAGTGCAGTGGCCCAGTCTCGGCTCACTGCAATCTCTGCCTCTCAGGTTCAAGTGATCCTCCTACCTCAGCCTTCCAAGGAGCTGGGACTACAGGCACATGCCATCATGTCTGGCTAATTTTTGTATTTTTAGTAGAGATGGAGTTTCTCCATGTTGGCCAGGCTTGTCTTGAACTCCTGACCTCAAGTGATCCACCCACCTCAGCCTTCCAAAGTGCTGGGATTACAGGTGTGAGCCACCGTGCCCGGCCACATGCTCCTTTTGACGCAACATGGCAGAAGACAGATTCCTGGTGAGGTCACCCCACCCCACTCAAATGTGGTCATTACCGCACTGGCACTGTCGCCCACGGAGCTCCTGCCCTGTCCCCAAGATCTGCCCTGGCAGCTCACAGCCCACATCCGATTGGCCCTCACCGTGAATCCCTTCTTGTGTCCTTTGAACTGGTTCCTCCCTCCTGTAACATCCAACTCCAGTCCACCTTGTTCACACAGCCAGGAGTCAGGAGGGCTAGAGGTGGGATTTGGGATTGCAACCCAGGCCCCTTGGCTATCAGATCCACAGCTGGACCAGTCTCCGACCACTGAGATCTGGAAGAGGAGCTGCAGCCCATTGCCAGAAACAGTGTGTGCTTATCCTGAAATTGCTGTGTGACCTGAGAGGTTTCCCGGCCCTCTCAGAGCAGGGCTCACCAGGCTAGTGCCAGGTGGGATCTCCCTGCCAAAGAGCTGAGCCCAGAGCCCAAAATGGGGGATCACGAGGACTTCCTCACTGGGGTCTTTGCCCTCATTGGACCCCCCAGTTCCTCCCTCAGCCTGGGCTGGGTGGGTGATAGAGCTGCCAGCTTGCTGGAAAATTCTCTTCCCTTGGGGCCCACGGCTGGGAGCCAAGGGCAGCTGCCACTTAGGAGGGAGAAGGCCCCACGGGCTGGGCTGGGTGTGCCATGAACCACACGTGAGCATACCGGGAGGCAATGGAGGTTTGGGGTGGTGCTGCGGTTCTAGAGAGGGCAGGCCAGGGTCCCCTAGCATTGGCCAGGTGGGTGGGGCTCTGTCCTTGTGGGACCCAAGGAGGGTTTCCACGTCCCTCTAAGCCTCACAGGAAATTCCAGAGGGAGAGAAAGACAAGTTGAGAAAGGGAGATGTTGATTCTGACATCAGCTCAGGTAGAGGCAGCGACCACGGGGGCTCCAGGGGTGTCAGGGTACAGAGGAACCTGCTCCCACTCCAACTCCTTACCCCCGGGGAACTGGTCCCACACCATCCTGTTAAGGCCTGGCCTCCTGAGGGCCCCATCCCTTCCTGGGACCCCTGGCTTGCAGCCAGGCAGTGGGGAGAGGCCCAGGTGTGTGGTGTGGATGGCAGGTGAGTGATGGGCCCAGCAAGGCTGGCTCAGGCCCGGAGTCACCAGCGGGTTTGGCAGAGACTCTCCAGACCCCCCACACCTTCCCCACTCTATGCCCCTCCAGCCTCCCACCTGGGCCTGGGGGAGCCATCACAAGCACCTCTGCATGTCCACTGTGCAGATGGGGAAACTGGGCTGAGAGCACCTGGGAGTCACCACCACGCTCCACCACCAGGTCCCCCATGGCATTCTCCAGAGAGCAGCAATTTCCCCCAAGCACAGAATGTTCTGGAATGTTCCAGAATGTTCCAGAAGTCTTCATTTACAGTCAGAAGACACTTGCAGACCATAAGTGGTAGAGCAGGGCTCTATGGGAGACTTGCCTGACTTCGGAGTTCTTGACCTGAGATCTTCAGAAAACCCACTTTCACCTCTGGCAGCTGTGTGGCCTTGGGTGAGTTCCTCAACTTTTCTGGGCATCAGCCACCTACCTTCTCTGCAGAGCAGAGCCACTGCCGGCACCTTCAGGAGGCTGAGGTCATGCTGATCCTCCCACCATCCCGCAGGGTCTCTGCCTACCCCCCTGCAGGGAGGAATGTTTGGCCTGGGTCCCTGGCCCTCTGTGGGCCTCAGTTTCCCCTCCTGTAATACTTTTAAGAACCCCACCTCCCCCTGCTCATCCACAAGGCCACACACATGGTCACAGCCACTTGCAGACACAGCTTAAGAATCCCATATGTGGCGCCACACAGCCCACTTCACCACACCCAAGGACACAGGTCCATGCAGATACGGCCTTGTGCGGTGACACAGAGAGACACACAGACACGCACACTCAGAGAGGGGCTCCTGCTCCATCCAACACTCAAAGCCTCGCAGGGCCACACATTCTTTCTCACATTTGCAATCACCACCACCTACAAACACCCACATAGAGCCACAGGCAGGCATCGCAACACATCCACAGGCACTACCAGAGTCACACCAAGGTCACACCCACAGTGATCTGTTTGTGACACCCACCTGCTGACAGTCACACCGAGTGTCCCTCAGCCATGTGCACACCACTGCTGATGGTCACACACATTCCCCTTGCCCTCCTCCTCAGGGGATCCTGCCCTTCTCTGACCTGCCCTACACACCTAGGGCAACACATCCAGCTCCCTTGGGCCCTGGGCAGAGAGGGTCCCTTTATCCCAGCCCTGCCCATCTTCACTCCTGGAGAGCACGGGCCCCACTCCCCAGCCCTCAGAGCCTGCATGTCCACTGTGCAAATAGGGAGATTGAGAGCACCTGGGATTCACCACCACCTTCCACCACCAGGTCCCCCTTGGCATTCCAGAGAGCAGCAATTTCCCCCAAGCCCAGAATGTTCCGGAATGTTCCAGATGTCCTCATTTCCAGTCAGAACCCATCTGCAGCCCCTAAGTGGTGGAGCAGGGCTCTATGCAGGGCTTGCCTGACTTGGGAGTTCTTGACCTGAGATCTTCAGAAAAAAGACTTTCACTTCTGGGTGGGTGCCAGAGCCCACCACCCAGGGAGCCAGTTGGAGGAGAGGACCCCTGAGGAATCTGAACACTCCCCCCCCCAAGGGGCTTGACCTCCAGGGTCATAGAAAGTTCTAGAACAGGGTTTTCTGCCCCTGGACATTTGGAACCATCATTGTTGGTTGTAGGGGCCCCAACTTGTGCATTGTAGGAGGTGTGGAGTAACCCTGGCCTCTACCCACTAGGTGACCTCGTCCTCCTCCCCGGGTTGTGATGACTGAAAATGTCTCCGGACATTGCCAAGTGTCCTTGGGGATGGAATCGCCCTGCATGAGAACCACTGTTTTAGAGTGAGGGGCACACAGGAGCTTTCCTTGAAGCATTCTTGTGTGAAAATGGTAACAGCATTGTCTGTTTGCACCCCTCATGGGTGGTTAACAACGGCAATAAAACCACAAGCTAACCAGCCTGCACCATCGCCCAGGGGCAGGGCCTCAAGGGTACCAGTTCCCAGGGTGCCCTCCAGGGTGAGGTCCCCAGCAGGTGAGGCTCCTAACAGGTGACATTCAGTATGGCGAGGTCTCTGGGACCAGGTCCTAGCAGGTAAAGTCCCCAACAGCCGAGATCCTCAGTAGGTGCAGCCTCCAGCAAGCAAGGTTCCCAGGAGGCGCCGTCCCCAGCTGGCAAGGTCCCCAGCAGGGGAGACTCCTGGCAGTGGTTAAAGCCCGGGATGTGAAGTCCCAGGTAAGTCACATTCCTGGCCACCAAAGACTCCAGCAGGCGAGGCCCCACGCAGGTGAGACCCCAGGTAGGTAAATCCCCAGACTAGTGAGACCCTAGGTAGGTGAGGACCTGGGAAAGTGAGGTCCCGGCAGCACAGGCCCCTCGCCGGCCTCTCAGGTGAACCAAGCTGCTATGCTGCGCACTGTCTGGTACCTGGATTCCTCCTGCAGTTTCCAGCAGGCCTTGCAGAAAGCCAGTGCCCAGCTGAAGAAGCGAGGCCGCAGCGTCTCCCGCCAGCGGAAGTAGCTCAGGTAGCGGGCGTGGTCGTTGTCCAGCTGCTGCAGGTATCGGGCCAGGTCCTTGGGGCTCTGGAAGTCGTCCACGTGGATGAAGGCGTCAGGCGGCAGGAACCTCTCATAGTTGCTTCTGCTGGGCCCCAGCACCACAGGCACGGCCCAGGCCTCCAGGGCGTTCCTCCACAGCTTCTCGGTGATGTAGTCGGGGTGCAAGGAGTTCTCGAAGGCCAGGTAGAACTTGTACCGGGACAGTGTTTCCATCATGGTCCCCCTGGGCAGGGGCTTGTGGGTTTTCCCGTACACATCCACCTTGAGATGGGCCTGCAGGCTCTGGTAGTAGCGCACCCTGGCCGAGTCTGGCTTCCAGTTGGACACTGCCCAGGCCACCAATTCGGTCTTGGCCGAGAGGTTGAGCGGTGGGTGGGCAGGCTGGCCGGACCACGGCTGCAGCCAGCCGTAGGGCGTGAAGATGTCGGAGTCGCTGCGGTAGGACATGGTGAGATTGAAGTATCCGTCCAGGGCCTGCAGGTGCCGGCAATTGCTGGGAGACTCCATGCTTAACCAGACCCAGCGCTGCCCCTGCGGCCTGGTGGGGGGCGGGAGGTTGGCACTGGGGTCGTACATGATATCCCGGTGGTGCACGATGACCGCGTCTGCCTGTGGGTACACATCGGAGTCGGCAGTGATGTTGCAGTCGGCGGCGCCGGGCACCATCTCTGAGCAGCGGGGTAGAGCCATGGGTGTGTTAAAAGGCCACGTCCACAGCAGGATCAGGAGGGTGGGGCGGGCAGGGGTCGTCGTGCTGTCCTGGCAGCGGGACCCATTGGGAGCTCCAGTGACAGGTGCCACAGCCATGAGTCCTGACCTAGGGGACCCAGTGGCATCGTCTCGGGACACACGCAGGTAGGAGAAGAAACACACAGCCACCAGCAGCTGAAACAGCAGCCCGGCCAGACAGTGGCGCCACAGCCATTGTGGCTTGGCTGGGCCCAGGGGATCCATGCGTCAGAGTAGCTAGGCAGAGAGAAGAGAGGAGTGAGGGTCATTAGGGACAATCAGCCACTTCCTGGCCACGCGTCCTGAGAGAAGCTGTTATAATTTATGACACAGCTTGTCATAAATGTCCCCAGTATCCCTGAGTTGAGGACTGAATTTATGACTCTTGACAGGGAAGGGTACAATGGGATTAGGTTTTGCAGGTAACGTAAGAGTTCTCCAGATAAGGTAGGAGTTGAGGGAAAGGGTGTCCCTTGGATGAGGAAAGAGCCAGTGCCAAAGCCTGGCAGGGTTGAGACACCTGAGCAGTTTGCAGACAAAAGGAAGTGCTCAGGCTGCCAATTTAGGCTTGATTTTCTATTCACTTGGTGTTTCAATCAAACACTCAAAGCTAACCCCCCTGGCCCTCAGACACCCTGTCCCTGCCCTGGGGGAGAGGCCGAGGCTGGGGGAGAGGTGGGGAGGATAGGAGGGAAAATGGGCAGGTGTGAAGAGTCAGGGGAGGCAGGGACTGACCAGGCAGGGAGTGGGGGGACCTGGGACCCCAGGGAGGAGTAGGCTTTTGGGGAAGACGTGGAGCCCTGCTTGTCCTGGAGATGCCCAGAATGGAACCGGAGGGAGCCCAGGGCCCCCGAGTGTAGACACTGGGTCTGGGAAGTCAGAGAAGAAAAACCTTCAAAGAGGCTAAGAGGGGCGACCGGAGGAAGAGGAGGGAACCTGAACCATGCTTTATGATGGGTGAGGCGAGGCTTGGACGCCAGGGTGGATTGTTTACAATTTTAAATGTACATCTAAAAACTGAACAGTATATTTACAAAAAAAATTACAGGCTGGGCGTGGGGGCTCACACCTATAATCCTGGCACTTTGGGAGGCCAAAGCGGGCGGATCACTTGAGGTCAGGAGTCCGAGACCAGCTTGGCCAACGTGGCAAAACTGTCTCTACTAAACACAAAAATTAGCTGGGTGTTGTGGTGGCGCCTGTAATCCCAGCTACTTGGGAGGCTGAGGCAGGAGAATCACTTGAAGTGAGTGGAGATCACACCACTGAACTCCAGTCTGGGTGACAGAATGATACTCGGTCTCAAATAGTAGTAGTAATACATTTATAACACAAGGTCTTCCTCTGTCACCCAGGCTGGGTATAGTAGCATGATCTCAGCTCACTGAAGCCTCAACCTCCCAGGCTCAAATGATCCTCCCACCTCAGCCTCCAGAATAGCTGGGACTACAGGCAAGTGTCACCATCCCGTTAATTTTTTTGAGATGGAGTCTCTCTCTGTTGCCCAGGCTGGAGTGCAGTGGCATGATCTCACTCCAGCGTCTTTCCCAAACTTTCATCACCCCAAACATAAACTCTGGACCCATTAAACAAACATTCTCCCTTCTCCATCTTCCAGCCATCTCTATTCTACTTCCTGTCTCTGTGGGTCGGCTGTGGTTAAAATTCTGCTCAAGGCCGGGCACAGTGGCTCACGCCTGTAATCCCAGCACTTTGGGAGGCTGAGGCGGGCGGATCACGAGGTCAGGAGATCGAGGCCATCCTGGCTAACACGGTGAAACCCCGTCTCTACTAAAAATACAAAAAAACTAGCTGGGCGAGGTGGCAGGCACCTGTAGTCCCAGCTACTCAGGAGGCTGAGGCAGGAGAATGGCGTAAACCCGGGAGGCGGAACTTGCAGTGAGCTGAGATCCGGCCACTGCACTCCAGCCTGGGCTACAGAGCAAGACTCCGTCTCAAAAAAAAAAAAAAAAGGGTAGATTGGGGGCAATGGGTGATTCAGGGGTGGTGAGGGCTGAGGTCCCACCTAAGTTGAACCCAAGTTATGTTTTTCTAGAAAAAGAATGCTCAGGCCAGGCATGGTGGCTCATGCCTGTAATCCCAGCACTTTGGGAGGCTGAGGCAGGTGGATCACCTGAGGTCAGCTGTTTGAGACCAGCCTGGCCAATATGGTGAAACCCTGTCTCGACTAAAAAAAATTAGCCGGGCGTGGTGTAATCCCAGCTACTCAGGAGGCTGAGGCCACAGAATTGCTTGAACCCGGGAGGTGGAGGTTGCAGTGAGCCAAGATGGCGCCACTGTACTCCAACCTGGGTGACAGAGGCTTAGTCCCCCGCCAAAAAGAATGCCCAGTTCCTCCTGGTTTGATAAATCAGCCAGAACCTTCCATCCCACTACATACAGCACCAGAAAGACCCCAGCCTGCAACTAGGGGCTGCTGGCTGTTCATGTCCTCACCGGGGGCATTGTCTGTGACTTTTTTTTTTTTTAGATGGAGTTTTGCTCTTGTTGCCCAGGCTGGAGTGCAATGGCGCGATCTCTGGCTCACCACAACCTCTGCCTCCTGGGTTCAAGCAATTCTCCTGCCTCAGTCACCCCAGCAGCTAGGATTACAAGCCACCACACCGAGCTAATTTTGTATTTTTAGTAGAGACGGGGTTGGTCAGGGTGGTCTCGAACTCCCGACCTCAGGTGATCCGCCTGCCTCGGCCTCCCAAAGTGCTGGGATTACAGGTGTGAGCCACCGCGCCCAGTGTCTGTGACTGATTAAAACATAACTCATGGAGGCCAGGCGCGGTGGCTCACACCTGTAATCCCAGCACTTTGGGAGACTGAGGTGAGCGGATCACCTGAGGTCAGGAGTTCGAGACCAGCCTGGCCAACACGGTGAAACCCTGTCTCTACTAAAAATACAAAAATTAGCCAGGTGTGCTGGCACACACCTGTAGTCCCAGCTACTCGGGAGGCTGAGGCAGGAGAATCGCTTGAACCCAGGAGACAGAGGTTTGCAGTGAGCCAAGACTGGGCCACTGCACTCCAGTCTGGGTGACAGAGTGAGACTCCATCTCAAAAAAAAAAAAAAAAAACATAACTCATGGGGCTGTCAGTCTTGGTGTCACTTTGTCCCGGAGCCCCAGTGAGGCCTGGACCAGCCAAGACTTCCGTCCCACACAGCTGTCCTGTGGATATGAAGACTCAGGTCCTGAGAGAGGGTGCTCATGACTCAAGTCACTGGGAGTCTCAAATGCACCAGGCTGGCTCCAGTTGGACAGCTGTACTCTCTGCCCCGTGCCTCCTGCTTAATTCCCAGTCATCCTTCAGGGCTCGGTGAAAACAGCTCCTCCACGGAGCCTCCCCAGGTAGGGGCTCTCCTGCCCTCCCAGCCAGATCAGTCCCTTCTACTGGCTCCTCCAGCCACCCCTATGCCCCTGATCCTAGGCTCAGGCCATGAGGATCCCTTCCCTCTGGCTCAGATGAGCTGAGACTTGCTTGGAGGGGTGTGGTGAGGCCATCTGTGCCCCTCGTTGGGGTCCCGGCCTTCACTGGACACCCCAGCTCCTCCCTCGGGCTGGGTGGGTGATAAAGCTGTCAACCTGCTGGAAATTTCTCTCCCCTTGGGGCCTAAGGGCTGGGAGCCAAGGGCAGCTGCCACTCAGGAGGAGGGAGAAGGCCCCACGGGCTCGGCGGGTGGGCCATGAACCACACGTGAGATCTGGGGCATACGGGGAGGCAATAGGGGTTTGAGGGCAGTGCTGGGGTTCCAGAGGGGGCAGGCCAGAGTCCCCCAGTGTTGGGCAGGTGGCTGGGCTTCTGCCCTCGTGGAGCCCAAGGAGGGTTTCCACATCCCTCTAAGCCTCAGAGGAAATTCCAGAGAGAGAGAGAAGTTGAGAAAGGGAGATGTTGATTCTGACATCAGCTCAGGTAGAGGCGGCGACCACGGGGGCTCCAGGGGCGTCAGGGTACAGAGGAACCTGCTCCCACTCCAACTCCTTACCCCCGGGGAACTGGTCCCACACCATCCTGTTAGGAAGCCCTGGCCTGGCCTCCCGAGGGCCCCGTCCCCCTCCCGGGACCCCTGGCTTGCAGCCAGGCAGTGGGGAGAGGAACCCAGGTGTGTGGTGTAGGTGGCAGGTGAGTGATGGGCCCAGCAAGGCTGGCTCAGGCCCGGGGTCACCAGGGGGCTTGGCAGAGACTCTGTAGGCCCCCCACACCTTCCCCACCCTGTGCCCCTCCACCCTCCCACCTGGGCCTGGGGGAGGCATCATAGGTACCTCTGCATGTCCACTGTACAGATAGGGAAATTGAGGTTCAGATAGCACCTGGGAGTCACCACCACCCTCCACCACCAGGTCCCCCTTGGCATTCTCCAGAGAACAGCAATTTCCCCCAACACTAGAATGTTCCGGAATGTTCCAGAAGTCCTCATTTACAGTCAGAAGCCACTTGCAGCCCCTAAGTGGTGGAGCAGGGCTCTATGGGGGACTTGCCTGACTTTGGAGCTCTTGACCTGAGATCTTCAGAAAAAAGACTTTCACCTCTGGCAGCTGTGTGGCCTTGGGTGAGTTCCTCAACTTCTCTGGGCGTCAGCCACCTCTGTAGAGTAGAGCCACTGCTGGCACCTTCTTCAGGAGGCTGAGGTGACCTGGAAGGTCACGCTGATCCTCCCACCATCCGTAGGGTCTCTGCATACCCCCTCTACAGGCTGGAATGTTTGGCCTGAGTCCCTGGCCTTCTGTGGGCCTTGGTTTACCCTCCTGTAATACTTTAAAGAACTTGGTCTCTTCCTGCTCCTCTACATGGTGCTGGGGCCACTAAACAGGTAGTGGGGGAAGCCCCAGGTGACGGTGACAGAAACCTGGCACCCCCGGGCCCCCTGGCACCAACATGCTGGGGTCTGCCCAACCCTGGTACCCAGGCCCAGCCTGGTTCATGCAGCTTAAATTTCAGTCTGTGGTGGGTGAAGAGGCGGGGGCTGGACACGCTTCATTTTCCAATTTCTAGAAATAAAAGCTGTGGGGCCATCTATTGTGGAGTGGAAATAAAACCCATTGCAAAACCTCGTGTGTGAAAAAACAATAGCATTTACCTCCCTGCCCAGGGAGAGAAAATTCCAGGGACTACACAGGGCCAGGGAACAAAGGGGCCTCTCATTCTGGAAAGGTTTTGTGAAGTGTACGAGTGGCAATTTTAGAATCAGAAAAGCTAATGGAGGTATTTTCTTTTTTGTTTGTTTTTGAGACTGAGTCTTGCTCTGTTGCCCAGGCTGGGGGGCAGTGGTGCAATCTCGGCTCACCACAACCTCCCCCTACTAAGTTCAAGCGATTCTCATGCCTCAGCCTCCCGAGTAGCTGGGATTACAGATGCCCGCCACCACGCCCAGCTAATTTTTGTATTTTAAGTAGAGATGGTTTTTCACCATGTTGGCCAGGCTGTTCTGGAACTCCTGACCTCAAGTGATCCGCCCTTCTTCGCCTCCCAAAGTGCTAGGATTATAGGCGTGAGCCACTGCACCCAGCCCAATGGAGGTATTTCGGAGAACGGAAATGGTTAGGTCTGTTGGAAAAAAGCATAATTTTCTTTTCTTTCCTTTTTTTTTTTTTTTTTAAGAGTCTCATTTTGTCACCCACCCAGGCTGGAGTACAGTGGCACAATCTCGGCTCACTACAACCTCTGCCTCCTGGGTTCAAGTGATTCTCCTGTCTCAGCCTCCCGAGTAGCTGGAATTACAGGCGTGCATCACCACGCCTGGCTAATTTTTTGTATTTTTAGTAGAGATGGGGTTTCACCGTATTAGCCAGGATGGTCTCGACCTCCAGACCTCATGATCAGCCTGTCTTTGCCTTCCAAAGTGCTGGGATTACAGGAGTGAGCCACAGTGCCCGGCTGAAAAGCATAATTTTCTTGATTTGTTTTCAGGTGATGTTTTCAAGGTTTCTAAGACACCTTTACAGCCAGTAGAGCCAGCGACCTGGTTACCCGGGCCAGACCTGAAGGGAGTGTATGGAGATGCCACCCACCTTGGGAAGTTGGACTGGGATTTATGGTCTGCTCTGTCCCTGTTGGCGTTCTCTGGAGAGTAGAAATGCTCCCCTACCCAGACTCTCAGAATGTTCCAGAGACCTCAATTTACACTTGGTATCCACCTGCAGCCACTGAGGCCCTAAACCCAGCTGTAGCCCCTGGTCACGCCCCCTCCCAGAGGGTGACAGTGCTGAGATTTGACTTCAGAACAAGGGCAGAGCCTTACAAAAAATAAGCTGGGCGTGGTGGTGGGCGCCTGTAATCCCAGCCACTCATGAGGATGAGGCAGGAGAATCACTTGAACCCGGGAATTGGAGGTTGCGGTGAGCTGAGATCACACCACTGCTCTCCAGTCTGGGCAACAGAACAAAACTGTCTCACTCACTCACTCAATAAATAAAAGTAAATAGGCCGGGCACAGGGACTCACTCCTGTAATCCCAGCACTTTGGGAGGCCGAGGTGGGTGGATCATGAGGTAAGGAGTTCGAGACCAGTCTGGCCAACACAGTGAAACCCTGTCTTTACTCAAAACAGAAAAATTAGCTGGGCGTGGTGGTGGGCGCCTGTAATCCCAGCTATTTGGGAGGCTGAAGCTCAAGAATTGCATGAACCTGGGAGGCGCAGGTTGCAGTGAGCCGAGATCGCGCCACTGCACTCCAGCCTGGGCAACAACAGAGACTGTCTCAGGAAAAAAAAAAAGAAAAAACGGCCAGGCGCGGTGGCTCAGGCCTGTAATCCTAGCACTTTGGGAGGCCAAGGCAGTCGGGAGTTCGAGACCAGTTCAGGTCTTTGGAACATTCTGAGAGTCTGGGTAGGGGAAATTTTCTGCCCTCCAGGGAACGCCAACAGGGACAGAGAGGACTGCAAATTCTGGCGCATCTCTTCCCAAGGTGGCGTCTGCATACACTCCCCGCAACGTGGAGAAACCCGGTCTCTACTAAAAATACAAAATTAGGCAGGCGTGGTGGTGGGTGCCTATAATCCCAGCTACTCAGGAGGCTGAGGCAGGAGAATCGCTTGAACCCGGGAGGTGGAGGTTGCGGTGAGCCGAGATTGCGCCATTGCACTCCAGCCTGGGCAACAAGAGTGAAACTCCGTCTCAAAAAGAAATATTATCCTGTTTATTTCTTGGTTTGTCAGTGTCTTTCCCCAGACTGGCTGGCTCATGGGGCAGGGCTTGGGTCCCCAGCATGACCTGGCACCCAGTAGGCACTCAGTCAACAGGTGCTGAATAAACATCCTTAAACATTCCGTCTGTGACGGAAGCTTGAACTCTTACTTGGAGAATTACAAACGAAGACTGAGGATCTTTGGACTTTGGGGCAGGAATGACCCTCCCCCTGCCCCTTCCCCACCCCTCACCGACCACCCCAGGGATTACAGCCTGTCTCAGGGGGACCTGCAGGTGAAGTGGTCCTCACCCTCAGTGACACAAGGCGGGACCTCTCAGGGCTGGAGATGGAGGAGGCCGGGGTGCAGGCGCAGGCAGGCAAAGAATGCTGCTGCAGACGAGAACGAATAAACAGGCTCCTTGGATGTCAGAGGCAGGGGGTGGGGGGATGCTTTGAACCTCACGCCTGGCTGGGGATGTTTGGACAAGGCAGGCGGCCAGTGGGTGTCATCAGGGCTAAAATTAACCTCCACTTCCCGCTCGGCCCCTCCCCCTGGGCCAGGAGGGAGGCTGGGGCCCCGGCCATCACTTCAGTGAGCACTGTGTGCCAGACCAAGCTCCTTGAAATCAGCGCGCTCGGTCCTCTCAACAACCCCGACAGCTGCTATCAGTGATGGCATTGTGATTCATCCCCATTTTACAGGCGAGGAAACCAAGGCACCGAGAAAGAGGGAGGCTCATAGCCACACAACTCACAAGCAGCAGAGCCAGGACTTGAACCCGGGATTCAGGGAGTGTGTTCTCACCTGGAGGCCTCCCTGAAAGCCACGGGAGATGAAAGAGACCCTGAGTGATGAGTCCCTGGGGGAGGTGGGCATGTGACCCCTCACTCACTCTCCCCTAGGGACCCCTCCAGAGGTTTCCGGAGTTACAGTAACTTTGAGTCTTTTTGTGCAAATTCCAAGAGATGCCTGCTGTGCCAGCGACCCGCTGGGGACCTCAAACACCCTCATAGAGCCAGGGAAGGGTCAAGGAAGGGGCGGGGACAGGGCTGGTGGGCTGTGGAAACCTCGTGCAGATGGTGAGATATTAAAATACATCCACTCCACAAAAATTAGCCGGGCGTGGTGGCGCACGTCTGTAATCCCAGCTACTCAGGAGGCTGAAGCAGGAGAATCACTTGAACCCGGAAGGCAGAGTTTGCAGTGAGCCGAGATTGTGCCACTGCACTCCAGCCTGGGAGACAGAGCGAGACTCTCTCAAAAAAGTTGTAAAAAAAAAAAAAATTAAAAAAAGAAAAAATCCACTCCAGACCAGTGCAGTTGCACACGCCTATAATCCCAGCGCTTTGGGAGGCTGAGGCAGGAGGATCCCTTGAGCCCAGGAGTGGGCGACATAGCAGAACTCCTTCTTTACCAAAAAAGTTACTTGAGTGTGGGGGTGCACGCCTGTAGTCTCAGCTACTAGGGAGGCTGAGGCACGAGAATTGCTTGAACCTGGGAGGCGGAGGTTGCAGTGAGTCAGGATCATACCACTGGACTCCAGCCTGGGCAACAGAGCAAAACTCCATCTCGAAAAAAAAAAAAAAAAATGAGATGAATGATGCTATAAGTATATCCCAAGAACTGCATGAGATATACTTATGCCAAGCCGTGATTCATTATCTATCTGAAATCCAAATTTAACTGGATGTCTTGGATTTTTATTTGCTAACTCTGATGACTTCAGCTGGGTGGGGGTTGGGGGGGTCCCTGTAAGGGCAGGTGCTAGAAGCAAAGGCAGGCAGTAAGGAGGTGAAACCAGAGCCACACCAGGCACTCAGGTGGCTTCCAGGACTCAACGCCTTCCTGATGGGCTTCCCAGGTGCCTCCAGGACCAGCCAGATGGAGGAGGCTTCGGGGCCTCCCTGGCCCCCACCCCCTAGGCCAGCCCCTCACCACCTCCCAGGTCCCTCCTGCCGGGCTCATTATTCATCTTTAACGGTTGTCACTGGGCAGGGGGAGTGCGGGCTGGGAACACCTGGGACTCCCAGGCTCTCAGTGGGCGGCCTCACTAATGGGCTGAGGCCCCCATTAGAGAGGCAGTAACGGGTGGGAAGGGGGTCCCGGCTCACCAAGGAGCTGGCCTAGGGCAGGAAGCGTCCAATTTGAGGCAGGGGCGGGAAACAGACTTTTGCCACCCCCACCCTGCCGTTTCCTTTCCTGTCGAGGCAGGAGTCCAGGGAAGCACCTCTGACTGCCTTCACCCCTCCCAGTCTCCACCTGGACGGGGTCCTGCTGGGCCCCCCAGACGCAGTGGGGGCTGCTCTGGCACTCCTGTCTCCCCATACCCCAGGCAGGGGTAGGATGGATGCCCCAGCCTTGACTGTCCAGCTCCCCATGTGCCAGGCTTGGTCAAGAGAGTGGCTCACGGCTAAGGAGTGGAAACTGACACCCAGAGAAGGATCTAGAACCTCGGACTTTCTGTGCTCTTAGCCACTCTCCTTTCTGTCTCTCCTCTGAGCCATCACACATGATGTCCCTCTCTCCTGGGCAACTCTTTTCCCTTCCTGGCAAACCCCCTTCCCCTGGAAGCATCCTCACCCTGGCTGGGTCAGGTCTCTCCTCTGGGTCCCCATGGGTCCCCATCTGCCTGTGTGACCTCATCACACCCTGCTCGGCCCGAGTTGTGACTGCTCAGTCATGTGTTGTCTCCACCACAGGGCTGTGAGTCTTGGGAGTGGGGACTCAGTCTGTCTTGGGTAAGGTCCAGCTCACAGTGGAAAGACATGCTCCAGTGTCAGTCACAGCTGCCCCGACTTGGCCCCCATTTGCTGTGTGACCCTGGGTAAGTAGCTATGCCTCTCTGAACCTTGTTTTCCCCATCTGTAAAAATGAGACACCAGCACCCCCATCGTAACCCAAATTGCACTGAGATGGCAAAGAAATTATGTACAGAAGTTTCTGGAACTGTGCTTGGGACCACAGAGGAGGAGCAGCTGGTGTTTATTTGAAATTTTAGGCAAATTGGCCGAGTGCAGTAGCTCACACCTGTAATCACTGCACTTTGGGAGGCTGAGGCAGGTGGATAACATGAGCCCAGGAGTAGGTGACCAGCCTGGGCAAGATGGGGAAACCCCAGCTCTCAAAATAAAAAAAATCAGGGTGTGATGGTGCACAGCTGTAGTCCAGGTAACTTTGGCGGCCGAGGTGGGAGGATCGCTTGCGCCCAGGTGTTGGAGGCTGCAGTGAGCTATGATGCTCCACTGCACTCCAGCCTGGGTGACAGAGGGAGATCCTGTCTCTTAAAAAAACAAACAGACAAGACCGGGTGCGGTGGCTCACACCTGTAATCCCAGCCCTTTGGGAGGCCGAGGTGGGCAAATCACAAGGTCAAGAGATTGAGACCATCCTGGCCAACATGGCGAAACCCCGTCTCTACTAAAAATACAAAAATTAACTGGGCATGGTGGCACACACCTGTAGTCCCAGCTACTCAGGAGGCTGAGGCAGGAGAATCGCTTGAACCCAGGAGGTGGAGGTTGCAGTGAGCCAAGATCACGCCATTGCATTCTAGCCTAGTCAACAGAGTGAGACTCTGCCTCAGAAAAGAAAAAAAAAAAAAAAAGTCCCTACACACCTATTAGAATGGCCAAATCCAAAGCACTGCCAACACCAACTCCAAATGCCACCAACCCCTGAGGACAGGGAGCAACAGAAAGTGTCACTCATTGCCGGTGGGAATGCAGAATGGCACAGCCACTTTGGAACAGTTTGGCAGTTTCCTGTAAAACTAAACACACTCTTACGATGCGACCTAGAAATGGCACTCCTAGGTATTTACCCAAAGGAGTTAAAACCGAACATCCACACAAAAACCTGCACACAGATGTCTAGAGCAGCGTTATTCACCATTGCCAAGACTTGGAAGCAGCCAAGATGTCCTTCGGCAGGAGAACGGGGAACCACACTGTGGTGTGTTCAGACGATAAAATATTATTCAGGCTGGGAGCGGTGGCTCATGGCTCTAATCCCAGCACTTTGGGAGGCAGAGGCGGGTGAATCACCTGAAGTCAGGAGTTCGAGACCAGCCTGGCCAACATAGTGAAACCCTGTCTCTACTAAAAATACAAAAATTAGCTGGGCGTGGTGGCACAAGCCTGTAGTCCCAGCTACTCAGGTGGCAGAAGAATCTCTTGAACCCAAGAGGCAGAGGTTGCAGTGAGCCGAGATCGTGCCACTGCACTCCAGCCTGGGTGACAGAGCAAGACTCCGTCTAAAAATATATATATATATAAGAAATGAGCTGTCAAGTCATGAAAAGACAGAGAAACCTTAAATGCATTTTTTTTTTTTTTTTTTGAGACGGAGTTTCACTCTTGTTGCCCAGGCTGGAGTGCAGTGGCGATTGCAGCTCCTGCAACTCCGCCCAGGCTGGAGTGCAGTGGCACGATTTTGGCTCACTGCAACCTCTCCCCTACTCCCCGGGTTCAAGCGATTCTCCTGCCTCACCCTCCCAAGTAGCCGAGATTACAGGCATCCACCACCACGCCTGGCTAATTTTTTGTATTTTCAGTAAAGACGGGGTTTTGTCATCTTGGCCAGGCTGGTCTCGAACTCCTGACTTCAGGTGATCCGCCTGCCTCGGCCTCCCAAAGTGCTGGGATTACAGGCATGAGGCACCGTGCCCAGCCCTTCAATGCATACTACTGAGTGAAAGAAGTCCATCTGAAAAGGTGACACATTGTGTGATTCTAGCTACAGAATATTCCAGAAAGAGGAAAACTATGGAGACAGTAGAAAGGTCAGTGGTTGTCAGGGACTTGGAAGGGAAGGGATGAACGGGCAGAGCACAGTGGATTTTTAGGGCAGTGAAACTACTCTGCATGATACTGTAATGGTGGACACGTCATTACACATTCATCCAAACCCACAGAATATGTGAATACAACAACAGGAGTGAACCCTTGTGTCAACTATGAACTTTCTTTTTCTTTGAGATGGAGTTTTGATCTGTCACCCAGGCTGGAGGGCAATGGCCCGATCTCGGCTCACTGCAAGCTCCGCCTCCCCAGGTTCAAGTGATTCTCCTGCCTCAGCCTCCCGAGTAGCTGGGACTACAGGTGCGTGCCACCACGACTGGCTAATTTTTTTGTATTTTTAGTAGAGATGAGGTTTCACCATGTTGCCCAGGCTGGTCTCAAACTCCTGACCTCAGGTGATCCGCCCACCTCGGCCTCCCAAAGTGCTGGGATTACAGGCATGAGCCACTGTGCCCGACCTGAACTTTTGTTAATTAATACTGATGCATCAGTTCTAATAAATGTCTCACACTAATGCAAGATATTGATAATATGTATGGGCAACACAGCGAGACCTCGTCTCTTCAAAAAGATGAAAAAATTAGTTGGGCATGGTGGTGCACGCCTGTAGTCCCAGCTGCTCAGGGGGCTGAGGAGGGAGAATCGCTCGAGCCCAAGA